GCGCGACCTTCTAAACCGAGAAGATTTCGAGGGATCGGTTGCAGAGTACGGGGCGACCATGGTAGGTATGTGCCTCTATATCCCTTATGCGACCGGTCTCGTTTGGGCCTACTGGTGGATGGCCGATATTGCCGAGCTGAAAACCGTCTACCTCCGCAGACTTTTTTAATCTGCCAAAGGAATTGGAAATGTCGCGATGACTGCGGAAGCACAGGCGCTGCGAATACCGAGCTGCGCGGCTCGACCTGTGCAAGAAGATCAGGGCTTCGAGGGACAAAGCTTGGGAGAAGCTTTTCTGTGATCCGGAGGACAATCCCTGGGGGCGTCTGTTTTTCTTGATGTAGAAAAAGTTGAAACCGAGGATTCCCTTGGTGATGGAACCCTAAATGGAGTCCTAGATTCCCGGAAAATGGAAGAGATAGTGGGGACCCTGTATTCGGAGAACGACGACGACCTAAACGAAGCTCAATACGAGTTCTGCAAGGACACATCCATCATCGACGCGATCTTGCGCATTCGTGCCTTTGCGGAGCAACACGTAGAAGAGAGGGGGGGGGGTATTGGCGGTATCTCTTGATATCGTCAACGCCTTCAACGCCTTCTCCTCTGGAGCCAGGGTAGAGACGGCCCTCGTTTACCATGAGATGCCGTCTTACTTAGTTCCCACAATTTGGAACTACTTCTCCAGCCGTAGGCTGGAGTACACCGTACAGGATGAACTCCAGCGTGGAAGGGAAATGCGGCGCGGGGTTCCATAGGGCTCAGTTTTAGGCCCGCTACTGTGAAACCTAGCATATGACTACGTGCTCCGCACTTCCCCCCCGCAGCCTGTTCGTCAGCTATGCAAAAGACACGCTTGTCCTGACCGGAGAGAGAAATTGGGGGGAGACGATAGCCTTGCGCAAGTCGCAGTCGACTGCGTCGTGCGCTCAATCAGAGAGATGGGTCTGGAGGTGGCATCTCAAAAAACCAAAAGCCATATAGCTTTACGATGGTTCAGCGGGAACGCCCCCTCCCCCCCCCCC